AGGAACGAGCTTGTCCCTTGAACTGCACGCTCTGTTCCCTCACTGGCTGTGTGAAAGGCAGCGCTATGGCGCTCTTCTTCCTTTTTGTATTGCATAATCCCATCCCTGCTGTTAACGCAACCTGACCTTGAGACGTTGTTGTTCCAGAAATCACATCTGAAGCCGAGGAGCTCTGCTCTAAACCTCAGGAGGAACCCAAATCACCCAGGTTATCAACATCTGACCCAGAGCCCATGACCCCTAAAGCACTCACGGGTGACCAGGTACGATACGACGGTGGAGCTTTTACTGCTTTTACATGATGAAGCTAAATTGTGACCCCTCAGTGGTTCTATACTTCAGTCTCTCTCAGCTGACGTGTTCTGCCATTAATATTTAACTACTCGTCCAGACAATGAGAGGCTTATCTTTACAGAGCTCCAGACATAATTCGTATGTTTGATCCTGACCAATCATTGCATCACATATGAGGAATGTAGACTGATGGCATTGTTACAACTTTGTGCTGCTGTGTACGTGACTGGAAACAAACATCCTGTTCACAGGAAGTGATGGCTCCTATCAGCAGTGTTTAGATAAATCAGCTGTGTGAACTTTCACACCCATTTCGTATGTGTTACACGCTGTATACTGTAACATTGTGATACTGTAACATTGTGTCAAACCGCACTACCCTACCTGGCTTTTTTGCTCTACAGGTTAATGACAACAAGCCAGTGCGTCCAAAGTCAGCCATGTTGCCCGAGAAGGATTACAGCCTGTCTGAGCTCCTGAGCCAGGTGGATTCTGGGATCTCTAGGAGCTTTGATCGCGTGAAGGAGGACAGCTGTCACAGCAAAGAGAGCACCTGCAAGAGACTGTCTGGGATTTCCTCTGCAGATTCTGCCTTCTCGTCCCAAGACTCTATCACGCTGTCTTTTGAGAAAGAAGGCACGTACGGTAAGCGTGCATCAAAGACCTCTCCTGTGGATTTTATAAAGTAACACGAAAAAATGTATCGTTATTTATCACTTTTCCTCCTTACTGCTCAGATTCTGCTGAGGTCCAGAAACGAAAACTGTGTGAGGCCATCAGGAACAAAGACACGGCCAAGCTGATGAAGATCCTCCAGCCTCAGGATGTCGACCTTCTCCTCGACGGAGGAGACAGTCTGCTCCACCATGCCATCAACTTGGGTAATGAGGAGGCGGTCAAATTCCTCCTCCTGAACAACGCGAATCCTAACCTCGCTAACGGCCGCGGCTCCACGCCCCTTCACCTGGCCACGGAGAAGCACCTGAAGTCGCTGGCGGAGCTTCTGCTCGGCCGGCGCAGCACCAATGTGAACGCCAAAGACGAGGACCAGTACACAGCTTTGCACTGGGCAGCCCAAAACGGCGACGAGGCTATCACGCGCCTGCTGCTCGACCGGGCGGCGGCCATCAACGAGACCGACGGACAGGGACGCACGCCAGCTCACGTGGCCTGCCAGCACGGCCAGGAAAATGTGTTCAGGGTGCTGCTGAGCCGTGGTGCTGATGTTCAGATCAAGGGCAAGGACAACTGGACGCCGCTGCACTATGCTGCCTGGCAAGGGCATCTGGGCATCGTCAAACTGCTGGTTAAGCAAGCCGGCGCCGACGTAGATGGTCAAACGACAGACGGGCGCACGCCGCTGCACCTGGCTTCTCAGAGGGGGCAGTATCGAGTGGCACGGATCCTGATTGAGCTGGGAGCCGACGTGCACATGACATCAGCTGGATCAAAGACGCCGCTACATGTGGCGGCTGAAACGGGTCACACCAGCAC